CCTGGGCCACTCAGGTGGGAGGCAGTCTGGGCCAGCCCTTGTCCTCAGGAGGGGCCTGGCTGGGCATGACTTCCTCTCTGGTCCCTGTCCAGTCGCCCTCTCCATCCAGGCTCTTCTCAGCTGCAGGCTGGCCTATAGCTGCCAGCAGGTCATGCTGGGCTCCTTATTGGGCTGGTGCTGGCTTGGGGCCCCCTGTGGCCTGGGCCCTGCTCACCTCTCCAGCCCCGTCTTTGCTCTCTGCAACCCGTGGCCACATTGGCACCCACCCTAACCAGAAACATCGTATCCTCTAACTGTGCTCAGGGCCCCCTCTGCCTCTGCAGGGCTCCCAGGGTTTCAGCAGGACCCCACCATCTGTTCCTCCCGACACCACTAGCCAGCAACCTTCTCCCTGGGGAGTCCAGGCTTGCTGAGGAAGCCTTGGCTTTGCCATTTGCCAATGACCTCTGTCCCACCATTCTGGCCCTGACCTCTCTCCAGACATTCATCTTCAATAAAACGTTCAACAAATAACAGAATGAACAAATGACATGTGGCTCCAGTCGCTGAGCTGGGGCCAGTGGAAGAGGGTGGGTGAAGGATGTCATCAGTGGGGACCTGTGGAGTTTGTGGGACCCCTCATTCATTGGGCTTGCAAGCAGGAATGTCCATGGGCAGGACAGGAATTTGGGTGTCAGCATCCATGTGTCTCTCTCTCATTCTGCACATTGAATGTATCACCAAGGCCTGCCAATTCTGGCTCCAAAATCCCACTGAAACCCTTCCTTTCCTCTCTGTCTCCACCCTCTGCCACCAGCATCACTGGGTTTCCTCTCACTGACTCTGGGCTGCCCCTCCAACCTGCTTCCCCACAGCAACCCCAGAATCTCTCTAAAACCCACGTCTGAACAGTTCCGTCCCCCACCCATCCCCGGAACGTCATTCTTCCGCTTTCCCCCTTGGCCTCACGATAACATCCATGTTCTTAGCTCCACTTATGAAGTCCTCTGTGACCAGGCCTCACCCGCACCCTGACCTCTTCCCTTCTCTCATTGCCCGGCCACCCCCAATCTGTGCTTGCAGTCCCACAGAGCTAGCCCTCGCTGGCCCGTCTCTGCGCAGGCTGTTCCCTTGGCTGGAGGTACTCCTGTCACCCACCTGTACTGTATTTTTGGCTCAGATGCTGCCTTTTCCAGGAAGCCTTTCTGACCCTCTGAAGATCCCTGCCCACCCTTAATCAGATCCCTGTAACTCTGTGTGCTGCTCCATCCTTGCGCATCTCTCTGTTCTGTGCCTAGCAGACAGCGGCAGCCTGTGGAATGAGGGGCTGAGTTCCATGACTTGGGGCACTGTGCCCCCACCTGCTCCTTGCAGCTCTACCCTCTTCCAGGCCCAGCTGCAGTGCCCTGTGTTCTGGGAATCGTCCTGGGCTGCTCCCACCCAGCTGGCAGTGAGCCCTCAGTTCCACCGTCCTGGACTCAGCCTCTCCAAGCTTGCCCCCTTGGGACATTGGGCCTGAGTTTCCATGGTTCCCTCAGTCAGTCTGGGGGCTCCTCCAAGGCAGGGAGGGGTCAAATTTCTGCCCTGTGGCTCCCAGGTGGCGTGGACCTTTGCATAGCTCGAGCTGTGCGGAAAGCTGGGAGGAAACCTTTCCCCAGACCCCTTCCCCTCCTCCAGTCCTGGGGTGGCCTGACTGTGTGCAGTCACCAGGGGCCTTCCTGTGGCTGCCTCCTAAGGCCACATTTCTGTTCTGTCCCCGCAGACCTCTCAGCAATTATTCCCACCATGGGCCACACCTTCCTCCTCCACAGGCCTCCTTCCTTGTCTTCCTGGCACCACTCCCCGCTGGCCATCCTCCTGCCCCTCTAGCCTCCTCCCCTTGGCCTCCTCTGGTAGGTTCTCAGCCTCAACATCGCTCAGGCAGCTCTTGGCTTCTGTGGCTCCTCTCTCCCCACCCACATGTGCCACCCAGGACTCTGTCTCAGGCCTGCTCTCCGTCCTGGCTCGATGTCCAATGCTCTTCTCCAACAGGTATAGACTGATGGGATCCCAGACACTCCTGCTCCTCATCCCTCCATGACATGCAAACCACCACCCAGCCCAGACCCCTCCACCACCCAGACTTTCTCAGACCCGCACCTGGCAGCTCCACCTGAGGTGTCACCACTGTGGGCAGGTGACAGCTCTTCAGTGGGACAATCCTGCGGGACAATCCTGTGGGACTGCCAGGCCATGCTCTGCACTGCAGGGTAAGTTTTCTAAAAGGATGCTTCTACTCTCTAAACGCTCCCATGTTCCCGAGCCTGGTGACATGGTGCAGGCCATGGCAGGGTACTCAAGTGGGCATTGGTGGCCCTGCAGGATCTGCTGCCCTCCCACCTGCTCCAGTCTCCTGTAGCTTCCCTCTCCCGTCCCAAGGTCCTGGCCCAGATCCTTGAAGGCACCTGGGGATTTTCTGCCTCTAGCCCTTTGCAGAGCAGTTCCCTGCCTTGCCTCAAGCACAGGCCCTACCAACCCTGGAGCCCATCCCACCTTCCATGGCCTGTGACCTAAAGCCTCCCTAATCCAAGTTTGAGGCCAGTGTTGGGTCGAGAGCACCCCTGCCAGCAGTGTAGCCTTTCGCTCTATGCAGGGACCACTTATTCAATGCTGCTGCATGCAACCTGGCCCAGGAATTCCACGTGGGCAGGACCATGCCTGCCCTGAGCAGGGCTGGCACCTAGCAGGACCTCAGTAAACAGTTATGGAGAGAATGAGTGAATGAATAAGAGTAAGGATGGGCTGGGGGCCTTCTGCTCCCTTGTGGTTCTGGGGTTCTCTCCCCAGGCCAGATCTGCTTCCATTAATGTCCTTGGGCAGCACCTTTGAAAGAGGAATCTAAGATGTTCTAGGGTGATCTCCGGTGGACACCTGCTCCCATAGCCATTCTACAAATGAGGAAACAGAGTCCCAGAGTGGGATTTGCCAAAGGCCACAGAGCAGGTCAGTGGCAAAGCCAGGACCATGTGACTCTAAAAATACCCAGTTGGCTGGGTATAGTGGCTCCTGCCTGTAATCCCAGCACTTTGGGATGCTAAGGCAGGAGGACTCCTTGAGGCCAGGAGTTCGAGACTAGCCTGGGCAATATAGGGAGACTCTGTCTCTACAAAGAATTAAAAAAAATTATCCAGGCGTGTTGACACATGCCTGTGGTCCTAGCTACTTGGGAGGCTGAGGCAGGAGGATGGCTTGAGCCTAGGTGTTTGAGGGTGCAGTGAGCTATGATTGCACCACTGCACTCTAGCCTGGGTGACAGAGGGAGACCCTGTCTCAAATAAAATAAAATAAAAATAAAGGGTGCCCAGCACCCGGCCACCTAGGCTCAGCAAGTGGTGCACCCTCCCTTTGGAGGGAGGAGCAAGACTTTGGCTTTTGGTCTCATCCCTCAGGTGGCTATTCCCAAGACAGCGCATCCCTGGGGTCCTGGTCACAAATGTTGGTTGGTTGCCTCAGGGACCACACAGACCAAGAGACTAAAAGCTCTGAGACCAGACTGAGAACAAGTGGAGTAGGCTAAGTGTCGGACCACAAGCAGCAGTAAGGACTGTGTCAAAGGTGAGAGAGCAGGGTCTGAGTAGTCTTTCAAATTCATCATTTAAAAAGGCGCTGTACCAGCCACATAGAACACGTCTGTGGGCCCCATTCAGCCCTGAGCCGGGAGTTTGGGACCCCACACAGGCCCAGGTCCATTGTTTCCTAGGGGAGTTGGAGGCCCAGAGAGAAGACTTAGTCCCATCTCCTTCTGGCCCCTTGCAGGCTCCCAGGACTGAAAAGGGGGCGACATAAGGCTGTACCCAGGTGTGGAGAGTCGGGGGCGAGGGGCCCTTCCCTTCTGGGAAGAAGCTGCAAGTGCCAGGACAGGAGGGCCCAGTTTCTGGCCTGGTGCTGGGCTTCAGGATCGCCTGTGCCCGCCCAAGTCTTACCTTTAACCAGGGTATGCTTGTCCGTGGGGGAGGAGCGAGCCAGCACCCGCAGCTTTGGCCAGATCTTGTCAATTCGCTCCTGCTCAATCTGGAAAGGGATGGGGAAGGGGGTGGGTCGGTGGGGTTGGGGAGAGAAACTGAGGCCTGGAGAAGGGAGGGGACATGCCCAGAGTCACTGGGCTCTTAGAAGCACACTGGCTGGCTTCTGTACGATCATGCAGCACCCTACCTCCCAGCCCCCATCTAAGCACGTTCCCCGGAGGATGCTTTACGCTGGGACACGCACCTCCCCCTTCTCGTTGCGGATCCTTCTGTTGAACTCCTTGCCCTCGAGGCACAGAAAGTCCTCCCCAGGATGGATGATGCCACACTTGATGGCGATGGCCCGAGCCGTGTTGATATTGTCACCAGTGACCATGCGGACCGTGATGCCTGCCCGCTGGCACTTGCGGATGGCTTCTGGGACCTGGGCAGGAGGGCAGGGGCCATGGGGGAGGGCACCACCTCAGGCAGATCCCCCCTGCCTTCGTGGATTCCAGAGGAGCCCTTCTCACAGGCAGCTCTACTGAAAGGGGACTAGATGACTATGAGATACTGATGGCACACATGGCACATGGGCCACAGCCTCCCTTCCTGTGCCCATGGCAGGCATTGTTAATCGATCACACATCCTTTGATTAAACCCTGATGTGGTTCTCATCACAGAGTCCCAGGTGGCTACCACCTATTGACCCTGACAGTCCATCCTGAGACAGAACCACTGGCTGTCTTGACCTGGGCAAGGATTTTGGAAAGACTTCCACGAACACCTCCTCAGATCTGGCCCCAGGTAAGCTTGGCCAGGTGAACTTGTCCTTGTCTCACCCACATACACAGTTCTGCAAACTTGACAAATCCATTTGTGTATTTTCAGTTTCTTGGGGGGATATTTGCATTTGGGAGCATTTTACTTACAGAATGTGACACGGGTTTAGAATATGTATAAATGATTACGCTTCATGTAAAATATACCATTTCTCTGCAATAATAAGGATAGTTCTGCCCTCTCTGACTGTAATGACAGACGATATCTGGGACAATCAGGCCAGATCAGAGCCAGCCAATCAGAAGGCACAAGGCTTCCCAGCCCCGCCCCACCCCAGCAGCCAGCCCTGAGCAGAGCTAAGGGTTTCCCTCACGGAAATCAGCCTGGAGCTGGGGCAGCCCTTTATACACAACAGAAATCAATGGAACGAGTGATTCTTACCCGAGGGCAATGACAAATAATAAAATAATATTTGCTGCAGAACGTCTTTCAGTGGGAGAGAACATGTCAAGGGCAGAAAATCCAGTTGTTTGGAAAGACCACAGCCTGTTAGAATCTCCAGCCTGGAAGGACTCAGTCTGACGTTCCCTCCCTGCACACCTCACAGTGACCAGGAGCGCACTCCAGCATCCACCTGCCAAGCCACCGCTGAGGGAGTTGGAACCTATAGATTGAGTCATATTCCCCCTAAAAGACAGACTGGAGCCCTAAGCCCCAGTACCTGTGTATGTGACCTTGCTTAGAGATAGGGTCATTATAGCGGTAAATCCAGCTAAAATGAGCACATCACGGTAAGTCCTAATCCAACAGGAATGGTGTCCTTATAAAGAGGAAATTTGGACACAAAGATATGCAAAGGAGATGCCATGCAGAAATTGGGGTGCTGCTTCTACACTCCAAGGAGGCCAAAGGTGGCCGGCAAGCCACTGGAAGCTGAGAGAGAGGCGGAGACAGCTCCTCCCTAGCTTCACTGGAAAGAGCCAGCCCTGCTGACACTTTGGTCTCAAACAGACGTCCAGCCTCCAGGACTGTGAGACAACAAACTGCTATTGAGCCACTCAGTTTGTGTGACTTTGTTACAGCAGCCCTAGAAACTAGTACAAACAGTTAGAAGGTGGGGCCAAGCCTGACTGGGACAGCCCCTGCCCTGGTCTCCTTTCTGCCCTCAGCAATGGTAAGAACAAGGATCGGCCTTGACTGTCTCGCCTGTGTCCACCCCATCCGCAGCACCCACCACTCCTTCAGCCCCCACCACTATCGTCTCAAGCTGGGTCATTGCCCAGCCTGCCTCTGGGCAGGAGGGCAGGCGCCATGGGGGAGGGCACCACCCTCCCTGTGTACTCTGTGCAGAGGGCACTGCCTGGCCGCTCTTTCCTTATCCTGGCCACTAGTGACCTACCTGAGTGTCAGCCTGTGGGGCTGCCCTCTTTCAGGGGCTCCACCCTGATGCCTTCAAGAGGAAACCCACAGTTCTGAGCGTGGCTGTCTTGTGGCGTGAGGAACAGATGTCCTGGAGGGGCAGGGTCCCAGTAAGGAGGACTCTCTAGCTACTGGAGTTGTCTCAGAGACCGGCTCTGTGGTGACAGGTAGTGATCTCCCTGTTGTTGAAGGGTTAGAGCAGGGCCAGCTGACCACCAGCCTCCTCTGGGGCTTATTTCCAGGGCCTGGGGAGAAGCCTTCCAGTGCCCACTTGGGGCTTGGGGGCCATGTGAGCAAGGCCTCTGCCTCATGCCACAGTGGCTAATCAAGTAAGCAAACGTGACCTCATTTTTACAGAGCTGGAGGGAGTGGGGACGTGGAATGTCAAAGATCCTGTTTATATAACTTACTAATAGCCTCATGACGGCTGTAACATGGGCTGTGGCCCCCTGCTCTCACCTGCCCCTGAGAACAGCAAAGAGCTGCTGTTTCCTGGGAATACACACCTTATCTGGCTCCTGCCCCCAAAAGGAGGAATTTCGGTTCTCGGTTTCAAAGATGCTGGAGGTCTTAGAGTTGGAAAGGGCTTTGGGTCATTGACTTTGACCCTCTGCTCATTGTCTAGATCTGTTCCCAGGTGTCCTCAACAGATGGGCTGGTCAGCCTCTGCTTGCACACCCCTGATGACAGGGCACTCCCTCCCTCTAATGCCCACTGCTCCACGGTGGAACAAGTCTAGCTGATTTTTTTACATAACATTTCTTTTTTCAGATAGCAGAGCATTACCCTGCATCACACCTGTACGCTATTTGGAGGCAGGGTCTTTGGCACAGGCCTATACAAAAGGCTCTGGGAACACAGAAGGGGGTTTTGTACTGCTGAGTATACATGCTACTGAAAGAGCACAGAGGGCACTCTTGCTTTAGAAGAAAGTGGGTGGGGAGGAGAAATCAAGGAGGACTTCCTGGAGGAGGGGATGTTTGAGCTGCCAACTGAGGCTCTGGTTCCTGGCATTGTGCCAGGGCTGAGGCTACACAGATGAACAGAGATTAGTCCTGGCCACAGAGCACTGTCCACTCTGCATTGGCAGAGAAGGCATGAGGTATGAACGGGTCTGAGGGCCATGCGGCAGGTGATCTGGAGGGGCTGAGGCTGAGAGAAGATGTGGGTTAGGGACTGGAGACCATGAATTTGGAGAGGGGCAGAAGGTGCTGGACCAGGGATATGCTCCTTCAGGCACTGGGAACTGTGAGAAGTTCTGAGCCAGGAATGAGACGATCAGTGCTGCATTTTAGAAAGACTCTGACTTTCAAGACTGTCTCCCAGAACCAAAATCAGCCATTGTCTGGGCCTCTCCAAGCAAGCTGGCTTCAAGAGAAAAATGAGGCTAATTTTTACGGACCCTATACTTTCCTCTGTGCAGTGGAGAGAGGGCTTGGGGACCAAAGGATTGGGCTGGGTTTTGCTCTAGGGTCTCACGTGAACCCTGGTTTCTTCATCTGTAAAATGGGTACAATAGTATCTACCCTTCAGCAAGGCTGGGGGAACTCTATGACGGGGCACAAACAGCCCACGCACAGGATGGGCACGTGCACACCTTTTTCAAGTCCCTTTCCTCTCATAAATGCAGCAGGGCATTCACGAGGCCCCAGCCACTCCGCATCCCTTCCTGCCTTCTTGCCCTGCTCATGCTGTCCCCTCTGCCTGGAATGCCCTCCCTCCCTTAGCCTCTATGTGTCAAGTCTGTCCCATCTTATAAGTGAAATGCTCTCTATTCATGAAGCCATTCCTGATTCCTGCAACCCAACGGGATGTTTTCTTAAGCCGCTCTCAGGACTTAGTTTTGTTGCTCACTCATTCACTTATTGGACAAACAGCTCTGGAGCATCTAACTGCTCTGGACACTGAGGATCCGGAGATGTTTAAGACTCAAACCCCAGAGGCATCGATCCAGTTGAAATACGCTTCCCACATCAATAAAATTACTGTGAAATTAAAAATAAATAAATAAGTTTGGGAAAACATGACTTCTGTCGCTAAAATTATCCTAGATATTTCTCACTGAGGAAAAGCAGCCAGGAAATGGGTGCTTCCTGTTTTCATTAAATAAAAGCTTTTAAACATCTGTTGTTTCTGTGACAGCCGTTGTCTGTGACTCCGAGGGCTTCAAACACCCCCGGATAACCCGGCAAATCCCAGACCGCTGCTCTCCTGATGGCTTTATCGGCACTGACTTCAATCAACCTTGGAAAATGTACCCACTATATGGGCCGACAGTGGGGTGCTTTGGCAAGGGTGTTTTGATCTGTTCTAGCCTTTGGTCTTCTCGTGAGAGGAAGGCAATGTGGAGATTCAACCCCTTGACAGCCAGGGAAACCGAGTGAGGCAGACTGTTTTCTTGCAGTTGCAAAATGAATCTTAGTGTGTCTGCAGGGCCCTAGAGATGGTCCAGGCTGAGGTTTTCCCTCTGGCTGAGCCTCCTAGGCTGGAGGCACCAGGAAGGGCGTTCACCTGTGAGATTTACAGAGGGTGACAAAGAATTCTGTATAAACGGATGAGTCCAGGAGGACAGAGCCCTGGGGAGCTTGACAAAAACACCATCACCATAGGCACACACGTTCCCTGAAGGTCACCCCTAAAAACTGGGGATAGTGGTTGCCTCTGAGGTGGGAACCAAGGAGCTAGAGGGGGCAGGAATGACCTACCTAAAAAACAAACAAATAAACAAATAAACAAAACCATACCCACCCGTCTCCTTGGGTCCTGCATCCATCCCGCCCCATTCAGAGATGCTGAATCAACTCTGAGCTTTTATGCTTGCAAGTGGTGTCACCTGTAACCCTACTGTGTCCCTCACTGTGATTGTTGGACAGTCTGATTCTCTCAGTTTTCAGGTGGGGAAACTGAGGCCATCTGTGAGGGAGTGGCAGGGGCAGAATTAGAACCCATGTCCCTTGAGTCTGCTGTGTCACTTGAGTAGGTTACCGCTGTGAAACAGTTTATGACTCCTATACAGACATCCCAGGGGTGAGCCAACAGGAGAAAGGGTGGCCCATGTGGATGCCTTGACTGAAGGAAGTGGGGGAAGATGGGAGGGTAAGTCTTCCAGTCAACTCTTTCTCTCTCTGGGGACGTCAGAGCTTGGGAGGGACCCAAGGGGCACCTGGGCTAACTTCCCATTTCATAGATGAGAACACTGAGGCTCACAGAGGGAAGTGGCTCGTTAGTGGCAAAGTTGGGGGTTGGGGGTTGGCTCCAGGCCCCCCTTTCCCAGAGTCTGTGCCTGCAGCCAGCTTCTCTGGATGACCATGCTGTCAACAGAAAATGCCAGGGACCCAGCTCTGCCCCTTCAGGCCCTGGGCATGGGGAGCTCTCATCCCTGTCCTCATCTGCTTATCCTCTTAACTTAGAACTTCCTCCTCTCTTCTCCTCTCCTCTCCTCTTCTCTCGTCTCCTCTCCTCTCCTCTCCTCTCCTCTCCTCTCCTCTCCTCTCTCCTCTCCTTTCCTTTCTTTGTGTGTGTGTGTGTGGCAACCAGGCAAAGGCCCTGAGGCAGGGAGGCAGAAAACCTGTTCTAATCTGGGTTCACTCAGCCACTTTGGGCACATCACTGTCCCCCTCTGGGCCTCGGTGTTTTCTTCTGGAAATTGGGGTTTGTAGGGGAAGGTGTTTGGACTAGATCAGCCACTCAAACCTCAAGTCATGCCCTGTGAGAGTCATGAAATTTGTTTAGTGGGTGGTGACCAACATTTTTGAAAAGAAACAAATAAATAGAAGAATGGAAAATAGTTAAGTGCATCCCATTATTTTGTGAAATTCTTGCTTTGGTGAAGTGTGTGTGTTTACTGAGTCATGACATAAAATACATTTCTTATTGTGCGTCATGGTCAGATAACAGTTGGGACCTGCTGGTGTCTTCCATTCATCTAAGGGATGTTTCCAAGGCAGAGTGGTGAGCCAGGAACTCTGGGAGTGACTGGGAAGGGGGAGGTTGTGGGATTGGGAAGGACAGGGGTGTGGGCAGGCCAGCCTCAAGTGCTGTGCAAGGATGAAGAGTTTTCAGTAACGAAATAACACATCACAGTGAAGCCTGGACCCATTAGTGACTGGTAATGAGGAGGTGTCCCACAGGGAGGCCGATAAATGGCCTGTCTGTCCATGGAGAGAGAGGTTTGCAGGAAAGCACGTGTGGGCTCCACTGTCAAGCTCCAGGGACATTAATTGTCTTTGCTGTTTTAGGATCTTGATAGGAGTGAGGAAGCCACAATGACACTCCCAACTCATTCATTCCACAAACACTCATTGAACACCTTTGGTAGGCTAGACTGTGTGTCTAGGGCTGCTACGTGTCCCTGGATCTAGGGTAATGAAATCTACTGGAGAGGGCGTGAAGGAAGGGGACCCACATATGTAGCCCACCTATCTTGTGCCAGATGCTCTGCCTGTTGCTCGTAGATACATGATCTGAGCCTTCATGATATCCCAGAGAGGGTGTGTGTGATACTATTATTATCCCCAGTATGCAGATGAGGCTCAGAGAGGTTATGTAACTGGTTCAACGTCACACAGCCAGCTGTGCTGGCACTCAGGATCACAGATCTGTCTGATGTCTGAGCTCACACTTTGAACCCTCTCCCTGCTGCCTAAAATGTGAAAGTCCATGCCTGTGACCTCCTAGTTTCATTTTGTTTTGGAATGCAGAATCTTATAACATCAGGGCCAGGAACTTGGAGGGCATCTTATCTATCCCTTTTATCTTAAAGAAAGGGAAGCTGAGGCTCAGAGAGGAGTAGGGAATGGCCAGAGACCCCCAAAGAACAGTATCAGGGTAGGTCCATTAAGGAGTGGAGGAGGTGGGTCCTCAAAGCATCAGCACCAAGTCTTACAGCAGAGGCCAATCGACCCGGCCAGGGCCTGGCCAGGGCGTCCGGTCTGGACCCAACAGTCGAGTGAGTCCTGGGAGGATGGGGAAGCAAGCCCCTCCTGCACCCTGCCTCATGCCCGGGGTGCTCCCCTGGGGCCTGGCGGTGTGAGCTGACTCACTTTGCCCGCCCATGCAGCGTTTTGGAGATTCAGGACAGCTTCCTCTGCTCCCCACAGCCTTTCTTCAGCCTGGGCAGCCTCACAGACCACACACATCTCATCTTCCCCTGACCCTGGCAGCTCTAGCACTGAGTTCTTGGCCTTCCCCTCCAGGTGCAGATTCAGCTGAAGGAGACTGAAGACCTACTGTGTGCTGAGCACCCCACTAGGTGTACTGATAGGCATCACCTCCCTCGATCCTTGTGAAGTGGGCCTGTCAGCCCCCTTCCCTTCTGCTTGAGAATGTGACCTGCAGTTAACGTTCTAGCTCTGTTCGCCTGGAAACCTGATAAAGGTAGACTCTCCGCTGTGTTCCTAGGCCAGCTTGCTAGGGTAAACTGGCTGGTAAACTGCATCTGCACTGCGAGAAACTATAAATACTGACAGGGACACCACACTTCGGGTTCTCCTGAGTGCAATGACCCTTGCTATTGGGCGTGTCCTTTGTAGGGACCCTGGAATTCATGTTTGTGGATTTGTTACAGGAGATCCTGGTTCCTGCAGGGCAAGAGGTTTCTAAGGCAGGGCAGCCCCTACACTTGTCCCTTGGGGGACCAGAGGGAAGAGCTCATGGTGGCTGGGTGGACAGCTCGAGGACTGCCCCATGGCAGAGCAACACCTGCTGGCAACCTGTGGGTTCTGTGTCCTTCTAGGCTGACCCATGCCATGTGTGGTCTACACTGTTTCTCATGGGCGATCCTCTTATGAGGATCAGGGGAAGGAGATCCCCATGGGCATTGTATGGAAACTGAGACTCAAAGAGGTGAAGTGACTTATTTCAGGTCACCCAGGTGGCTGGCCTCCCAGCCTCATCCCCTTTCCCTGAGCTTGCTGGCCCTGGGGCCTACCTCCGGCCGCACGGGGTCCTCGATGCCCACCACGCAGATGCAGGTGAGTTCGTTGAGGATGTCATTCTCATTGTCCCAGTCCGGCTCGGGGCTGCTGGGGAAGTCGCGGTAGGCCACGCAGATAGTGCGGAGCCCATCGCAAGCCATGGGCTCAATCACCTTCTTTACCATCTCGTCCCGGTCGCGGGGCCGGAAGACACGGGGCTCTCCCGCCCCATTAAGGATTTTGCAGCACCTGGAGGAGGATGGAAGGGAGATGGGGAGCCCAAGGAATGCTCCTTCTGAACGGCTCAGAGACCACCTCCCCACCCTCGTGATGCTCAGCTGGCTGTGGCTGGTCATCCAGTGCCCATCTAGTCCATGCCCCAGGCAGGGTGAAATCAGGCGTCCTTCCTGCAATTTTTGCCCAGGTCACTCAGCAAGCGGAGCCCCACTTTGATGTATTATATACTCACAAGATTCATCTGAAATAACACTCCCACAGCTGAAGTGGTTTACAAAGCACATAAAACCCAGGCTAGTAGTTCTTGACCCTGCCTGCACATTAGAATTGCCTGGGGGAGCCTTTAATAAATATCCATGTGTGAGCCTTGCCCCAGAGGTTCCAGTTCAATTTGTCTGGGGTGAATCCAGGAATCATTTTTTTAAAAATACTCCTCAGAGTGATTCCAATGTGTAGTCAGGGTTGAGAACCACTGGGGGCTAGAACAATCCTCTCAATGTACAAGTGGGGAAACTGAGGGCAGAGAGGCGAAGGGATTTGCTTAGTTCACCAGGCTTATTTCCAGCACTCCTCTGGAGTCAGAGAAGTGTGGCTAATAATGAAAATAGCTACCATCAACCGGCTCTATGCTAAAGGAAGTGAAATAAGAGAGATCTAAGTGTGATAACGGGTAGAACTTTCTGATGAACCAGTGGCTTAGGGAGGAGAAGGGGGAGGACTCTGGCTATAGAAATGTTTAAGAGGATATAGTGGAAGACACAGTGGCCAAGGGGCATGAAAGTGAAGATGAATCTTCCTGGATGGCCTTGGGCAGGGCCCTCTGTGGCTCTGGGTGCTAGATGGCCACTCTAGCCCAGCAGGCTGCTGAGCCTGGCCTGGATGGCGGTCAGTGCCGTATGACCCTGACGTCCCCGGCTCCCTGCACCAGGGCACAGCCCTCAGCCCCGGCGCCCTGCCCAGCGCTTACTTCTTGAGCACGATCTCAGAAGCCCCCTTGCTGTACATGCGGAAGCTCTCGTCGGGCAGCTTGATGACAGTGCTCATGGACTTGCGCACGGAGTTGAAGGTGTACACTTTGTACAGCTTCTCCTCTGGCATCTGGCTGCGCACGGGCTCGTAGTCCTGCTTCAGGTCCAGCACGAAGCCCAGCAGGCCGCACTCCGTCTTGTTGCCCACCTGCCGAGGCAGGGCACCCTCCTTCTCTGGGGGCTGCGGAGAGAGGCAGGAGCGGCTGGCACCTGGTGGGGCCTGTGTCAGGGGAGCCCCTGCCCCGGCTGCCACTGAGGCTCTGGGACTGCCACCAGGTGGTCTCTGGGCTGGGGGCTGAGCCCTCAGGGAACCCTTGGCCCATCCCCTGCACCCTCAGGGTTCTGCATCCCAGGTCCAGTCCTGGCTCCAGGTGAAAGGAGTGAAGCAAGATCAGCTTTTTAAAAAATTATGAATTATTTCAAACATGAGAAAGAGAATGATGTAACAAAGTTATGTGCCTACCATCCAGCTTTGTAGCATCTTAACATTATGCCACACTTTCCTCAGATTTTTCTTTTTTAAGAAGTAAAACATTATAGACAAAGCTGATTCCCCTCTGCAAACCTCTTTCCATATGCATAATTCACTCTGTGTCCTAGAAACAACTTCTGTCTTAAATTTGGCATTAATCATTACCCTGTGTGTATTTAACTGTTAATTCTGAGATAATTGTAATTCACATGCAATAAGAAACAATACAGAGAGATGCCATATACCCTTCATCCAGTTTCCCCCAATGTTATCACTGTAGTATTAACACAAGTACCACAACTGAGATGGAGATGGAAGCCGACCTTGTTGAGATTTCACCGGCTTTACATGTGCTTGTGTGTGTGTGTGCATGTGCATTTTCTATGCAATGGCACCACGTGTGGGTTAATGTGGCCATCACCACTGTCAAGATTCAGGACAGTTCATCATAAGGGTCCTTGTACTACCCTTTTTTTAAAGCTATCATCTCTCTCTCCCCCCACTCCCTGGCCATGGCAACCACTAATCTGTTTCCCGTTTCCATGCTTCCATCATTTCCAGCCTGCTATGTAAATGGAACCATACAGTCTGTAACTTTCGGAGCTTGGCTTCTTTGCTCAGCAGAATTCCCCTGAGATATAGGCAAGCTGCTGCATGTGCTGATAAGCTGTTCCTTTTGATTGCTAAGTGGTATTTCACGGGATGGACAGACTGTCCCTTGTGAATTCAATCAGGTTGAACCAATGGAAACTGCTATTTTTGAATGTCAAAAATGGTCAAATATGGGCAAGTTCATGCAGTTTAACCTAATGAGACTCCTGACCTCAAGTAATCTGCCTGCCTTGGCCTCCCAAAGTGCTGGGATTACAGGTATGTAAGCCACCATACCTGGCTGTAACTGTGCCTGGCTGTAACATTCTGTTTTTGAGATTCATTCATGTTTATGGCTCTAGTGTGTTCCTTTTTAACTGCTCTATAGATGCCATGATATGAATATGCTGCAAATACTTATCCCTTCCTTGAGTCCCTCCCTCACTTCCCTCTCCCCTTCACACATTAGACACACAGTCTTTGGCACCTGCTTCATGCTGGCCCTGTGCCCGCCTCAGGGCCGTGTGAACACCATTAGCTCCTGTCCTGGAGACTCCCAGAACACCAGCTGCATCTCCCCAGCACCTGTCACTTCCTCACACGGCTGCCTGAACACAGGCTGTTTCATGCCTCTGTACCTTCACCTCTGCTGCTCCTCCCCGGTGGGTCCCTCTCCCTCCCCTGCCAGGCAAACTTCCTCTTGTCCTTTAAGGACCAGCTCAAATATCTCCTTGTTTTTGAAAACTGCCATGTGGGTCTTTCTTCCCCTGTGTAAACAAGATGCATTCTATTTCTCTCTGGGTTCTCAGGGTCAGTGCAAAGCTTATCACACAGCAGGTGCTTATTAACTGTTCGCTAGATGGTTTAATACAGACCAGAGTGGTAGGGAAGACAGGTTAATGGTAAGGATGAGATGCCTCCATATGGCACTGATGTGGGATTCACAGGAGGCTGCAAAAGTGCAGATTTGCAGGTGGCTCCCATGTGCACCCCCCGACCCCAATGCACACACACTCATGCCACTTAATAGCATTCATATGGGCGACTCAGGTGGAGGTGGCTTCAGGGGTGGTGAAAGACACCAGAGATAGACCCTAGAGAAATTCTGAAGATGAAATAGCTATGAACATGCCTGTGTCCCCCTGAAGTACCAGATGAACCTCTCACAAGGAGGCCTCTGCATCCTCATCCTCAGTCTCCCTCATATTACCCAAAAGAGCAGCCCGGATAGGAAGAAGGTGGACTCAGGAAGATGTCAGCATGACTGGCTGTGCAGAGACAGGGTGGACCTTCTGTCAGCAACTGGACATATCCCTGGGCTATTCTCCCCTCTTCTGCAGCTAGGGCTCGGGCCCAAAGAGCAGACCCGATTCACATGGGGGGAATACAGGCATCGACATGCAGTGGTCCTGAGACCTGGGGATGCATAGGAAATAAAAAAGAGCCTTTGAACCTAAACGAGGTCCTCAGTTTCCTCATCTGTAAGATGGAGAGGCTGGAGCACATGCTTTCTAGCTCAGAGAAATATCAACCCTCTCCTTAAAGTGGATGTGGTGAGGGAGGGTAGAGTGAGGAAGAACTGCAGATCCCTCAGTGGATGGTACGGCAGCGGTGGATAGGGAGCAAGGCTCAGAGCACCTTCCCGGCTCCCATGGCCAGATTGACCTGAGGCATCCTGTGCCTTGGAAAATGCCCCACCCCCAGGCTCTTTGATAGGTTTTACTAAGAAGCAGAGGAATATTTGACACAACTTCCCATGTCTGAAGTTTCGGAAAATAAGTTCTAAGATCTTCCCTCTCTCTGCAGTATGCTGTTATTGTGTGCTCTCTCTCTGTCTCTCTTTCTCTCTCTCTCTCACACACACACACATATATATATATTTGCAATTTTATAATTAACTTTCTGTTGATTTCCAGAGTTTTATGTATTTCCCATAACAATTTTTTCTCCCTCTACTAATGAAAGAAAATGACGACACAGAGGACTTAAATAAAAATGCCTAATTACTTATTTGCCCAAGAGAGCCGAGCAGTCATGCCTGCAAAACACCCAGCATTTTATTACCCTCTGTGAAATATTTTAATTTTCCTCTAAAAGGATTTCAGACAATCCATGGTTGCAAATGGCAGAGCTGCCTCCTCCGTAATTCAATTTGTTTCCATGAACTTGAGCTCTGAAATCGCCTACATGCATTACTAAGAATCAGGGACCCTCCCCTCTTCTTCTTTGGCTTTTTAAGATCCGGACAAACCCAAAAGTTTTGCTCCTGCTGCAGAATTTCCATGAGCCTTTTTTATCTCCAGGGCTCCAGCTCTGTAAGGGAGTTAAGGCATTGGTATTCTTCCTGTTTTGAGGGACAGAGAACAGGCTCTGGGGAGAAAAGGGACTTGCTCCTCGTCAGGGACCTGCAGAGGGTCAGGCCTGAGGCTGCTCCAAAACCCCTGATTCCAGTTCCAGCTTGGTCCAGTACATTTCTCTGCACGGTATTGGGCCCTTGGGGAATGCTGGGTGCAGCCATGGTCATAGTGCAGCCATGGTCATATCTTTGAGAGGACATTTCATGCTCTTGTTTTGGGATGCTGGGAAGTGAATGGAGCTAAGATCAATGAATGATGACTTGAAGAGCTGCAAGTTATGGATAACACTTGCAAAAATGGGATTCAGAAAAACCATAGCATGTATCACCCATTAGGATGGCTACGATTAAAAAAAGAAACAAACAAAAAATAATATTGGTGAGGATGTGGAGGAACAGGAACCCTTGTATACTACTGGTGGGAATCTAAAATGGTACAGCCACTATGGAAGACAGTATGGTAGTTCCTCAGAAAATTAAACATGAAATTACTATATGATCCAGAAAGTCTGATTCTGGGGAATATACCTCAAATAATTTTAAACAGGTACTCAAAGAAATATTTGTATACTCATGTTCAAAGCAGCATTAACCACAAAGTCTAAGAGTTGGACACAACCAACCTGTCCATCAACAGATGAATGGATAAACAAAATGTGATTTATCCATACATGGACTATTGTTCAACCTTAAAAAGGAAGGAAATTCTGATACATGCTACTACCACATGAAGGAATCTTGAGGACATTATGCTAAGTGAAATAAACCAGTCACAAAGGGACAAAAACTGTATGACTCGACTTATATGAGCTACTGGAGCAGTCAGATTTATAGACAGAAAGTAGAATGGTGGGTGCCAGATGTGGGAGGAGAGGAGAATGGAAAGTTACCATTTAATGAGTACAGAGTTTTAGCTTTGCAACCTGAAAAGAGTTCTGGAGATGAGCTGTACAATAATGTGAATGTACTTAATACTGCTATACACTTAAAAATGGCCAAGTTTGTAAATTTCATGGTATATATATTTTACGTAAATTTTTTTTTTTTGAAATGGAGCCTTGCTCTGTCGCCCAGGCTGGAGTGCAGTGGCGCGATCTCGGCTCACTGCAAGCTCCACCCCCCGGGTTCACACCATCCTCCTGCCTCAGCCTCCCGTGTAGCTGGGACTACAGGTGCCCGCCACTACGCCCGGGTAATTCTTTTTTGTATTTGTAGTAGAGATGGGGTTTCACTGTGTTAGCCAGGATGGTCTCGATCTCCTGACCTCGTGATCCACCTGTCTCGGCCTCCCAAAGTACTGGGATTACAGGCGTGACCACCGCGCCCGGCCTACGCACATTTTTGAAATAAAAAAAGAGCTTAAAAGGCTCCCAAACAGGCCGGGTGTGGTGGCTCACACCTGTAATCCCAGCACTTTGGGAAGCTGAGGCGGGTGGATCACGTGAGGTTGGGAATTTGAGACCAGCCTGGCCAACATGTCAAAACCCCGTCTCTACTAAAAATACAAAAATTAGCCAGGAGTGGTGGCAGGCACCTGTAATCCCAGGTACTCGAGAAGCTGAGGCAGGAGAATCACACACACCCGGGAGGCGGAGGTTGCAGGGAGCCGAAATTGTGCCACTGCACTCCAGCCTGGGCGTCAGAGCAGGACTCCATCTCGAAAAATAAAAATAATAATTAAAAAAAAGCTCCTAAATGAACTCCATAGCATGGTAAACTGCAATAACTGCAATGTGATAATTTCTCTAAGAGGCCATTAGAA